TTTTTTAAAAAAAAAAAAAAAAAAAAAAAAGGGTGACTTTACATGTTCCAGTAGCTAAGGTAAAAGGGTCATTTTCATTTTCTGACATTTAAGAAATATATAAATGAATTATTTATCAATGAGGTGGGTTTGCTCAGTATGCCAATCATTCAAAGTTCATTTACTAGTTCTTCAGTCCCCTCTCTCAAATCACTGAATCTGTACCATCCTTTTCTATCACCCCATCCCAGCTGAGGCCCTCATCACTCCTACCTAGCTTGCTGCAAGTCTCCCCACTTGCGCTGTGTGTCCCTTGAGGGCAGGAACATATGTCATTTCTGGAGCCTGGCACAATGCTTGGTACACAAGTGTTCTCCTGCCTTCAGGGCCCTTCTCCTTCCAGTCTCTCCTGCATACCTCTGCTGAATGGAATCTCCCTGCAACAGCTCCGGTCTCATCTTGATGCTCCTTTCCTCTGCTCTAGAACCCTGGCCAGTGTGACTCAATGGTTAGAGTGTCAGCCCACGGATCCAAGGGTCAAGGGTCCGATTCCCGGTCAAGGGCATGTACATGGGTTGCAGGTTCAATCCCCAGCCCCAGTCAGGCCAGTGCAGGAGGCAACCAATTGATGTGTCTCTCTTACATTAATGTTTCTCTCTCTTTCGTTCTCTCTCTCTCTTTCTCCCTCTCTTCCTCCCTTCCACTCCCTCTAAAAAGAAAATCAACGGAAAAAACATCCTTGGGTGAGGGTTAACAGTAACAAAAGAACCCTTTCTCAAAGTGGGTTCTGAAAACACAACCCTCAGGATGCTTTGGGGGTGCTAGGGTCATGAAAGTACAGAATATACAGTAAGCCTATAATGTCAATAAATTCTGCAACTAAGTGAAATGACATATAACAGAACCAATTTTACCATAGGCTAATTGATATAAACAAAAGTTAAGTTCCCACAGCATCTCATCGTTATAACAAAACGTTATTTGAAGACCTGCTGTATTGCATATTCTCTCTCTCTCCGAGGTATATACCTCCAATAGGATCTGAAAAGCCCTTCACCAAGGAAACCTGTTTTATTTATTTATTTATTTATTTATTTATTTATTTATTTATTTATTTATTTATTATTTATTTATTTTAATTTTTAAAATCCTCACCCAAGGATACTTTTCCATTGCTTTTCAGAGAGAGTGGAAG